TGTGTAGGTGGTGCAAGATTTCCTCCATCCACCGACTCGAGTAATGACGTTTCTAGAGGCTCGTGATATGACGTTTCTAGAGGGTCGTGACATGGTGCGTGACGTACTTGTGTGGCTTGCCATGAAATGCCATTGCAGCAAAATCTGAATCGCCGTATAGCAGCGTCCATGTCGCTGTCTTCGCTAATGGAGCCATGCAGCCCTGACAGTGCATCTTGCGCAGCAGCCAGGTCATTCAAAAATCGCAAGAATTCCACAACTTTGCTACATTTGGTAGGAATTTGCAGTTAACGTACAGTCAACGTTCAGTTAACGTTCAGTCAACGTTACAGTCAACGTTCCAGTTAACGTTGCGAAAATGCTGGCAGGGGCAGCATTTTGGAGTTTTCAAGCATAAAAAGCAAGAAATTTCTTGCTTTTTATGCTTGAAAACTCCAAAATGCTGCCCCTGCCAGCATTTTCGCAACGTTAACTGGAACGTTGACTGTAACGTTGACTGAACGTTAACTGAACGTTGACTGTGACTTCTATGCAACGTTGCCCTGACTGGAAGTATCTGCAAGCCATGTAGGAAAGCCACGAGCAGGCCAAAGCTAGACCCCGCTCTGGGGACTGTGGATGGAGGAAATCTTGCACCACTTTTAAGATATGTTAGTTAGCTTCACCCCGCGCCCCCTTCTTAACATTGCTATGAACACGGGGATTTACAAAATCGTTCCAATGACATAAATCTTGCACCGCCCCAAGAGGTCTGTCGTCAATGTTAAGAAGGGGGCGCGGGGTTGTTGCTTGGATGTGTATTCGAAACAAGATGTGTAGGTGGTGCAAGATTTCCTCCATCCACCGTAGTACTAAAACTAGTAGTAGTAGCAGTAGAAGTAGTATTAGTAGTACTACTACTACGACTGCGACTACCACTACCACTTCCACTACCACTACCACTGAAACTGCTACTACTACTACTACTACTACTATTACTACTACTACTACTACTACTACTACTACTGCTACTACTACTACTACGACTACTACGACGACTACTACTACCACTACTACTACTGCTACTACTACTACTACTACTACTACTACTACTGCTACTACTGCGACTTTTGCTACTGCTACTACTACTGCTTCTTCGGAAGCGGCCCAAGTATTTCGACTTGAATATCGCGATATGTTTTATCTTGCTTGTCCAACTTGACATGCTTCCGAACCAGCCGCCCAGATGTGGCATAGTTCTTTGCGCAAACGAGCCCGATGATGTATTCACATTTGACCGATTGGCGAGGTGGAGGACGGAGCCCAGAAGCAGCGGGGGCGCAATCTTCTGGGCTCCTTGAAGAAGATGGATTTGAAGCTCCCGGTTGCGGTTTAGGGCCGATAGAGGCGAAGGAAGTTCAGAGCATGCGGTTGCAAGTTTGCCCCGGCTCAAGCGCATGCCGCATGTCCGTAACATTTCAATCTTAGGTAGTTGATGAGTTGAAGGCTCGAGGGCGGGTATACCTGATGTGGAAGATGGTGATTCACAGATTCCTTGGCCTAGAGAACCTAGGAGGCAAAAACCTAGATTTGGCGGATGTAGATGCCTGTAAATGTGAAGATACTTGATGCCCAGCGCCGACGAACCCAATATCAACCCAGTCTGCATCGAAATTACGACGACGAACCTTAAGGTTTTGACACAAACTTTATGGAGTCGGAAGGTCAGACTTGCTATTCAGCTCTGGCAGAGCCCTGCAATCCCAGATGCCAAGATTCCCCAAGCCATGACAATTGGAGAGCCGCATGAACTAAATCTGCAAGTTCGTCTCTTTCTCTCCTCAGGCTCCCTTGTCGCGCACCTCAGCTCTGCACAGCAGCGGCTGAAGGTGGGGCCTGCCAGAGACGTTGATGGTTTCGGACTTTGGATGCAGGCTGCCAGCCCCAGCTCCTGCTTCCCTGGAACCGTGAATCCTAAGCCCCATGATCGCCCCCTCCAACTCAAACGATTTCCAGAAGCAGGTCCGAGTTCGCGGGAGATCGTCGTGGGGCTTAGGGTTAATGTTTCAGGATTGACGGTTCCAGGGTTTCAGAGCCGGAACCATAAGTTGGGCATTGTCTAGAGGCCATTAGAGGCCTTCCTATCTTGGCGAGGATGAAACAATGGCACATAATTACGATATAGGACGATGATCTTTTTCTGATGATCGCATCGTTGGACATTCCTGGTTTTTTCCTGTAGCTTTGCCCTCCACAGGTGCTTGCGGGCCTGCCCTAGCTTGTAGCTTCGTCATCGGTCGGCCTGCAGTTCCTCGGGTTTCGATGCCCTCACCATCTCCCCATCTCCCGGCCAGGTTGACAGAGAGACGCCGGGAAGGGCTGCGGCAAAGAAGCCGCAGCTTTCCAAGGCTGCGCCCGCGACTGGGCTTGCATTTTACTATGTGCTTTTCGGCGGTCGAGGTTAATCCTTCAAGGAACGCTGGAGCGGGTTGGGGGGGCTTGTCGTGGCCCTTTGTCGATGCATGCCATTGTCTTCGAATTTCGACAGATTCGAGTCGAGTTTTCGGGGCTTGAGGCCTATGAATTATGGTGGGGGCTTTGTGGCTTGTCGGTACGGGCTTTAATTAAAGCGGCTTTAATGTAGTGGTTTTGTTTGCTGAACCTCGGCATTTACCTGCAGCGACTTTTGTTGTTGCGGTTTGTTTCATTGCATCATTGCATTATCGGTCATTATCGCACAAGAGGGCGGGCACACTCAAGACACACATTTGCATCACTCCTAAGAGTTCAGTACGTTCAATGCAGGTGAGTTGTATCAGCAAGCCGCGAAGACCACCATCCAAAGTGCAAACGGCCGACCACGCAGAGTTGCGTTGCCTGAGTCTTGAGGCGTGAGCTACGAAACGGAAGTCCCGACGAATTAGTGGGTGAACCTGTGCAAACTGGCTTTGGAGTCGAGGGTTGCAGGGTGTTCGGTTTCAGGGCAGCTGAAGGCATACATTCTTGCTACAGGCTTTCAGAGGCTTTCAGGCTCTTCTGTCGTCTGTCCCTTAAGACCTAGACCTACCCGTGGCTCGCAGGCAAGGGGCGTTGTGAAGACCATCGCAAAGCAGCCCAAGTTCCGGAAGGGCCAGGAGTTCCTTGGGCCGGCGTGTTTTCAGGGATACTGGGCCAATGTAGAACCGGAACTTATGGCTATGGCCATGTTGAGGCACCGACCATACGAGCACACAACACTTTCACTCCGTCTTTGATGTGATCCTTCGGGTCTGCAGAGGCATCTCGTTCGGGGTCTAGAGTCCTTCAGCCATGAAGCTCGATTATCCTGCATTGACCCTGGGAGCGTCATCGTGGCGGAGTCACAGAGCAGTGAAGACTTTCGACAGACATAGATCAAAACCCGCATCAAAGCAGCAACCGACACAGCAAGACGATCATCAGACCATAATGCCCGCAAGTTATTTCAGGCAGGACTTTGAGAGCTTCATCAAGACAAGTCCTCACAAGTCAAGGTTCATCTCCAAGCGCCGCCGCCTTGCTCAGGCGGCTCCGCGGGTGGAGGAGCCCTGAACCCTGGGCCACAGTTTCACGGTTTTTCAATTTCACGTCGTAGGCGGGGACAACCAGCGTTTGCCCACAGGAGCCTGAGTACAATTGCGAATGAATCCTTCGGAAACCGCGATCTTGCGATGGGGTACTCTGCACCTAGACCTTTGCTTGAACCCCTATGTTCGAGAGGGTGCTCAGGAAGGTGGGATGTCTGTCTGTGAGTCTTGGTTTTTCGGGCAAAGGTGTCAGGTGCTCCAGCCTGAGCTTGACCAAGCCTGGTCTATGCTCATAAGCTGACGCTGCACCGATCGAGCTATTCTGACGTTTATTCAATAAACACCTCTAAGACTTTGAGCCATAAACCGTGAAGTTTTAGATGTCCGAAACCCCCGAAGCACGTATAAACGGCCTTGTGCCGATCGGCCCTATCCACCAGCCACTGCAAAGCTTTGGATCGGCACACCCGGTGGATTCCCTTCTTTTCATGGTGAGTGGACAATCATGAACTGCAACCAAAGACCTTGATGCTCGAAGCCTAGGGCCTAGATGCATCCCATTGGCCGTTGTGATTTTGGCAAATGCCACCCCAAGCTTACAAATCCAACTGGAGTCTGAGTTCATTTTCAGCGTTTGGGTGGCATCAGGGGTTATTCATGCTCCTTCCTTTGCCGAAGTGGTTGTCTAAGTGAGTCCAAATCGTGCACAGATTTTGCCGGAAGGATCTCGAAGAACTCCAGGCCAACCTGGCGGAACACTACTCCAACATGCGGCCCAGCTTCACGCATCGTCAAGACTAAGATTTTCTGGGATTTAGCTCATTAAGTCCACTCGTTCTCGTGGTGTCCATGGTGCACTGCACCTGGAGACCGTTCACCTTCATTATTTCTGAATCTCGAGGTCCGCGTTCTGATGACGGGTGGCCATCCGAATGACTTGTATAGGGGACAGGCGGCCTATGGTCACGTACATGCCGCCAGTCGCCAATAGGGTTTATGCACATATACATGCATGTGTACATGCGTACAGACATTATACTTACATCCATAGGTACGTACGTATACGCGCACACAGACATGAACCGCATACATGCATGTATACATACATTCGTGTATGTGTATATCTGTATATGTATATGTATGTATGTATGTAGGTCGGAATGAAGGTAGGTATGTAGGTAGGTAGGTATATGTGTATGTGTATGTCTATGTGTCTGTATCTGTTCTATCCCTGTGGACACGAGCATCCAAAACATGAGAAGGACATGCGTATAAACGAGTTTGCTGACAAGGGCGGCTTGGCGGAACATGGCAGAATCGGGCTAGCCACACACTCGCTTCCAACCCCACTGAAGAAAATCCACAGGGAGTCTTTTTGTGCCGATGCACATGGACCTTCGTGTGAAACAGCCTCCACCCTGCATTGATCTTGGTTCCTGTTGCAGCTCTTGTTACATAGCTGCTTCTTCTACCTTGATGATCACGATCACGATGCTCAGTATGGTGGTTGTCCATGCAACGCGCCTCAAAACGGGTTGGCGCTCAGGATCTCATGCCTTATGATGAGCTGCCGAGGACCAACTTCATCCGGACCCGTGCCGACCCGACCCTCTTCTACCTGCCGGCGTCACCTGGCTGAAAAGCTTGGGCAAGGGAAGGGGACAGGGTCCGCGAGGACTGGCCTGGTAACTTCAAGCTGGCTACACGTCCAAATACACCGTTTAACTGCTATCTCCACCTGCAAGGCGGCTCTTGCACGACTCAATTGAAATTCATGAGTCAGATAGGGCGTTGTGTGTTTGGGATCCGTTTATTCAGTCTAACGTCCAACCCCTGGCAGGTTCCAAATCCTGACCCATCAACCATCAAACACTGATGTCCCTGCAGAGCAGCTCAGGAAGCACAACCCGGAGACGGAGAAGTGCTTGCAGGAGACCCGGGACACCATCCAGCAGAAGGTCCGGATTGGCGCTTTTGGTCGTTGCTTAGGTCAACGGCAATCTTCAGTCCGTGAGCTGAGATGCCCCTTGCGAGCACACCGTCCAGAGCTTTCAGTAGTAATACCACTGTTGCCATCATTGTAACCTTGAAGCACAAATGGAAATGTGCCATACAGGTATTCAAGGTACAGCACCCATTGATAAACCACCCCGAGAGCCAATCGTGCACCACCACCACCACCACCACCGCCACCACCGCCACCACCGCCGCCCCTGCCACCACCGCCTCCACCGCCACCACCGCCACCGCCGCCACCAACGCCGCCACCGCCACCGCCGCCACCACCCACAACCAGCAGCAACAAAGGCAACAGCAGCAGCAACAACAACAATATCTACAACAACAACAACAACAACAACAACAATAACAGCAACAGCAACAGCAACAGCAACAGCAACCGCAACCGCAACCGCAACCGCGACAGCAACATGAACAACAACATGGACAACAACATTAACAGTTCCATTGGCAACAACATCAATAATACCCTTGACAACAGCATCAACAACATCATGAACAACACCATTAACAACAACCTCAGCAGCAACATTATCAACAACATGAACAGCAACACTAACGACAACGACGGCGACAACAGCAGCAGCAGCAACAGCAGCAGCAGCAGCAGCATCAACAACAAACACCGCAGATGCGAGCATTGCGCAAGAGATGATGACTCCAAGTGGGTGACGATCATAGTTTTTCTTGAAACTCTGCTGGGAGTTTCGCTACCATTCCGCAATGCTGACTTCACAAGTGGTCCAACTCCGAGTAAAAGTGTTCGCAAACGTCCTGTCAACCTTCCCGTCCACCCTAACGGTCTTAGTGTGGGTGATCCAGCGAACAGGTCCGTCTTCTGCCCAAGCATCTCGGCACCTCCACCCTCGTGGTGGATGCTGAGGAGGCTGAAGAGGAAGAGGAGCCCTTGTTTGTGCTGCCGGTTTACATCCAGCCGAGATCGTTTCTACGAATGGTTAGCTTGGTATCAAGCCTCAGGGAAGTCTATCCAGGCTTCAGGGAGAGCATGAGAAGCAAGGCACCTGTCCGTGAGCGAGACGCCTCAGCACATTTCGGTATGATCTTCTAGCAATCGGATTCTCTCTCGATAACTCGATAACCCTAAACCCCAAACCAAGGAAAAAACCAACTAAGCCCCACAAACCCTGAGCCTGCATTTCTCTTTTTCCAGGAGGGCCTGCAAGGCGAGGAGGAAGAGCCCGAGGAGGCCGAGGAGGAGACGAAGCTGCGCCACCCGGCAGACGAGTCGAGGATGGCTAACAGTACTTTTGGGGTAGTAGTACGAGTAGAACGAATATTACTACTGATATTAATATTAGTATTCATACTAAGACGAATTCCCTGGGGGGATTCTTACAGGTCTGTATGTTGCATGTGTGTTTCAGCGGGTCGGTTCTTGTTGGTCCGGTGCTTCAGGGTTGTGCTAAAAAAGAGGAATCTCGCAAAACGAGAAACCCGGCACAAACCTCAGCTACCACAGGCCGGGAAATGCACAATCTAGAGCTTGAGGCTTTGCAGGCCTGATCTTCATGCCAAGATGCAGATACTTCGCAGTAGAGAATCCGTAAACAGTATACGCGTGTGAGGTCGAACCTCAAAACTGAGGTGCAGAGACGAACGGGGAGGAAAAACCGGCTCTTGCACCCCGCCGCCGTGCTGCTCTGACCCCGGCGAAAGCTGCGTGAGCCGCAGTAGGAGCCAACACTCATCATTGTAGATTGATCACAATACAGTCACGGCACTTACCTGTTACCGATCGGCTTTCAGTCTGGCATGCCTTAACCGAGGGAAGCCCTTCCTAGTAGAAGGGGGTGCTTGCTAAGCACGATTTGAGGGCTCTACCACTTCCATGTTTCTCTTGTTCGTACGAGTTTAGCATGCTTGCTTCTAGATTCTAGATGTTGTAGACAGAGTTTGCTCGGGTTGAGGTCAGAAGGCCCGTCACTGCAACAGCCTTTGTGTAAGTGGTGGGTTCCTGGTTAAGAAGGCGAAGGCGATGTGACCGGATGCTGGTACACGTGGTGGGGAAGTGAATGAAAGCTCTGAAGATGAGGATGCAAAAAGGGCCGCCGGCTGCTGCCTACTTCTGGTTTTCAACCGGGCTGCATACATGATATCCTGCTTGTAGTGCTGAAATCAGGATGAGGTTGTGTGAGAAGTGCCTCCCCAGGCACCCAACAAACGACTTTGCCTGCCTTCCGTCGCTCACCGTGCCGCTGGCCGCTGGCCCCAGGTAGGTAATCGAAGTGGGGCTTTGCGCCACGGGTTGGGGGCCTCAACTATTAGGATGGCCATGACCTGGGAGCCGCGGCCTACCGGGGTGCCACGAGCGCGGTGGGCCGATGTGGTAGATTCGTCGCAGGAACAGGAGGAGATCGTGTGAGTTGTTTGGATGCTTTCACTTTTGTCCAAGCCCTGGTTCTGACAGGATGCGTCGCAACAGGAAGTGCGAGCATCGCAGCTTCTGCATCAAGATTCATACCAAGATTCCCAGGCCTCGCAGCAGGCGCGCTTGGGAATTGCGTTGCATTTGTTATACTCGCACCTTGCGAGGTCTGGGCATACTTGAAGTTTTCAGCAACTGGCAGAGACCAGTCGTTTTGGCAATGCAGGGAGCAACGAACCTAGCACTCCCTCGCCTCCAGGCCTCGCAAAGCGGCATCTGCGACCTTCTGCGCAACAACGCGAACCTCGCCGAGGCCCTGCATCCCCAAACGACCCTGGGCTATTCATGTAGAATTTAGAGGCTCCACGAAGCTGCAAAAGCACGGATTGAGACAACGCATCCTGTGCTTGACTGTATGTCGTCCGTGCCCCCCAACCTATCCGACTAGGTCCCGCATATCCCAGAAGGGTCGACTCAGGACTTACTTACGAGAAGCATGTCCGCCCTGCGTTATTGTTTGGCTGGTCCCACGCCGCACCGCGCAAAAGAGCAGGCCCCCGTTATTCTGGCCTGCCGCATGCAGAGCAAAGTCCTTTTTGCCGCTCTGCTCGCCGCGTTCCGCCTGCGGAGTCACGGAGTCTTGGGGGCTTTGATAAGTGATCCCTCTCGGGCAATTCTGTCAGGGGCCCATACGAACCATCGCCCATACGTGCCATCGATGGAAGTAGGCCTTGTTACTCGCACCGCATTGGCGACTCTGCTGGGGTCATAGTCGTGAAGAGATGCCGGCATTGGCATTTATTCGCATGGGCAGCAGCCCACACACTGGACTAAGTCAGGCCGGTTGACAACTAAAACTAGGTAAGTATTTTCACCAGCTATCGCCCTGCAAAACCAATCCAGTCGGCAGTGTGTCTTCGTGATGCCCTCTTCGTCCTCGTTGCCGCCGCCGCTACCGTCGTCGTCCTCCTCCTCGGCTTCTTCAACGTCGTGGCAATGGGGTTTTCTGGGTGTTGGTGGGACGGTGGAGATGATTCTCGTTTCGAGATCGTGGCATTCAATTTATCTTTCGATTGGGTAACTGGCCTTCTGAGGGAGTCGGCGAGGATCTCCATTTGTTTTGTCCAGATGCGGTGTGGAAGCACTTTGAATACGTTCAAGTTGGGGCCCAAAGCCGCTCCTTATAGAGCCCAAACTGAGTCCCCTGCACGCATCAGGCCGGGGCGTCGCAAGATGATCGGGTGTGCAACTTACAGTGTTGCTTTCGATCCCAAGCGCTAAGGGCTGAGGTCTTCCGTTATCTTTGAAAAGGTTATTCTAGAAGCAGAAGCTGCCTTGAAGGCTGAGCACATATTGCATGATGAGGTGGGTGGGAAGTAGGGAATGTCTTTAGCCTAGTGGCCTAGAGGGCCGTAGCAGGTGAAGTTCCCTGCACATACGTCTGCTTGTGTGTTGCATGCATGCCGTCAGTATGCACGCGTATAACTCCGCAGAACCCTGGAGGCTTCATGGAAGAAGCATAGAGGCCTAGCCTAGCGGCCTAACGTATCCTTGAAAGTCCGGCCTAAACCTCTGCAGCACCGCAGCGGCAACCGTCCCATTTTGGATATGCAGCCCCTGAAAAAGAGGGTCCTCCGTGACTTAGCCATGTTTGACATTCCCTCAGATGCCGGACGCAGAACTTGCCTCGAGCTCCACGGACCGCCCAGGCACCCGGAAGCAGTAAGCAGGGAACATTCAGGTCTTCGGGGAAGGCATTTGAAGCTTCAGGTTTAGGCAACTTGGCTGCGCGTGCAAGCGTTTTCGAGCAAAAGGCTCTTAGGTTCTTGTGCGGCGGGTTTGTTCGGGGCGCCTTTTGACAAGTTTCTTCAAGGATGTGGCTGGGGCAGGTTGAGGGAATTGGGGGTGCTAGGAGTTTTGCTTTGTTGCTGTGAGCTGTTCGGACAATGCTCTCTCCCGTCACATGCATCGGCCTCAGTACGGGTTTAAAAAACAGGGGTTCGAAACTCTGTTTTGCACTACATCCCAAAGCGGGCATGTGGAGAAGGTGCTCTGACCCAGCCGCGTCGAGATACACTTCGTACAGCCATGTCTTGGGGTCCCCACCGGTATGGAACGGCAGCTTTCATCGGTATGGAACAGCAGCTTTCGTGTTGAACCGATGAAACCTGTGTTCGCTGGCAGGTTTTCTGTCCCGGAGACGCCACATGACCGAGGCATCGGTGAGCGAGGCCGGGGCGAGAGTTTCGGGTTCGGGTTTCATTTCGCAGTCTACATCTTGGCTTCGTCAGTGTAGGCCTTGCTACGTGCCAAGCACGCGTTTCCTTCTCGGAGGTACTTGTACTACCAGGAGTGGATGTTACATATGGCAGCTCGTAGCAGCACTGATTTTCAGCTTCCTGCGAGGAATGGTGCGCATCGGCAGTTGGTATGTGTACCTGGTTTAAGTTTCAGGTGTGCTTCGAGTTCAACATTGGCGCAAGCTTTGACAAACTGATGGCTTCTCGAGTCTTTCCAAAACTATCGATTAAAATTCTTCTAACCGTGGCCAGCACCACCATGGATAGCATCTACCAGCAGCATCAAAACATGTGGAATACCGAAGCTTGCAGGACACGGTTCTTCAGAGGAAGACCAGCGAAACAGAATTAAGGTTTTCATCAATCAGCTCCGACGCGCGAGTCATAGTGGGTCTGTCGTGCAACTGCTAGCCTGGACGGGATCTTCAAGATGCTAGACAACAGTTCGTCACGAGCAGGCTGTGTAGGTCAGGCTGTGACGAAGCCATGCTTTTGATGTTGGCCATGACTCCCAAACTGTACATCTTGGGCCTTCGCTGGCGGCCTGGCGGTTCCGATCAATGTGACACCAAATCCATGAACAACGAGGTGTTTTCTATTGCTTTCCATGTTAGACCCGGCTCCGCCGTGTCTAAGCCAAAACCAAGTCCAGAGCGTACAGACTTCTTTTCTGGCCAAGTAAGTAGTTCGAAAGGCGATGGGAACTGTGGCCGAAGAGCCCGAAGTCAGCCCGGTCCGCAAGGAGCGGGAGAATGCAGTGTTGCTGATGCCAGCAGTTCGCCTTCTCACTTTTCACGTTGTTGCTTGCATTGGCACGATATTTAAACGTCTTACACGCTTGCTCTTGCTCTGGTTGGTTTGAGGAGCGTCGTCCCTTGTCCTCGGTCCTGACGGAGGCACGGGTCACCTGGTGCAAGCTGCGGTCAAGCCCGAATCAGAAACCCCAAGCTTCGATCCGTTATGCTCTGCTGTCAACCCATGCCTGGCTGGAGCAACACTGCTGGATTCAGCTGCGACAGTGCAACCCGCCCACGATAGGGAGAGATGGGGGAGACAGAGCGGGAGGGGGGGGGAAGGAGGGGAGTGAGAGGGAGAGTGAGGGGGAGGGGGCGAAGGGGAGGGCGAAGGCGGCGAAAGGGGGAGGGGAGAGGAGAGGGAGTGATCCTTGAAGATTCTTGTTTGGAGGAGAGATGTGAGACTCTTGTGCTAGGCGGCCTCGTCTCTTACTCCGGCACCTAAAGCGCAGGAGCGCAAAAGAGGCCGCATGGGGGCAACTGCCTATATTGGTTTTCATTCCGGACGGGCCAAGAAACCATTTTGATTATTTTGGATGGGTATCACCTAGACGCCGTAGCAGTACTTGGGGAGGGGCTCTGTGGTTTTTCCGGCCTCAGACGACTGGTAGCAGATCGTACCTTCTCCTGATACTCTCGCAACACCTCGCTCGCTCTAGCTCTTGAAAGCTTGCCTTGAGCTCTCAGGGTCAGCCTGCTGACTTCGGCCTAGAGCTTGCAACACGCAGCCGATAGTCGATCCTGATGTGCGATATGTGACACCTCGTTTAGGCGTGCGACGGTACGGTACATCCTGCTGCTTCAGCTTCTCAACTGCTCCTGATAATGCTCCTGCTCCTGCTGCTCATCCGGCCGCCGCTCCTCCTGCTCCTCCTACTGCTCCTGCTCCTCCTGCTCCCACTTCTACACCTACTTGTACTCTTACTCCTACTTCTACTCCTATCACCTATTGATATTACTCCGCCTGCTCCTGCTGCTACTACTACTACTACTACTACGACTGCTGCTGCTGCTACATTTTCTACCCCTACTATTGCGATTGCTTCTTCTAGCCTTCTTCTTCTTCTTACTACTACTACTACTACTCCTACTACTGCTACTGCTACTACTGCTACTACTGCTACTGCTACTGCTACTGCTACTGCTACTGCTACTGCTACTGCTACTGCTACTGCTACTGCTACTGCTACTGCTACTGCTACTGCTACTGCTACTGCTACTGCTGCTGCTACTGCTACTGCTACTGCTACTGCTACTGCTACTGCTACTGCTACTACTACACTACGACGACGACTACGATACTACTACACTACGACGACGACTACGACGACGACTACTACTACGTGCTCGGAAACGATGCGCGCTCTTTGGGACCAAGATTCTGCCCATCTTGTTCAATCTTGCAATCTTGCCCCACTGCACCGCTTGCACCACTTGAACCACTTGCGCCACTTGCATCATTTCCCGAAGAGGAATGGTGCAAGTGGCTCAAGTGGCACAAGCGGTTCAAGTGGTGCAAGTGGTCCAAGTGGCGCAAGTGGTCAAGCGGCGCAAGCAGTGCAAGTGGTGCAAGTGGTTTTTAAGTAAGCTTGCAATATTTGCGTGTCAATTTCCCCCCCCCCCCCCCCCCCAAGAAAAAGCAAGATTAGCAAGATTGACGCGTACGTTCTCGGTCGGATATCGGATCCCTTTTCCCCTGTCACTGTACTACTACTACTACTACTACTACGACTACGACTACGACTATTACTACTACTACTACAACGACTACTACTACGACGACGACTACTACTACTACTACTACTACTACTACGACAACTACTACTGTACATTTCCTACTCCTCCTACTGCTGCTGCTCCTCCTCTTCCTCCCCCGCCCACTACTACTACTGCTACCACCACCGCTACCACTACTACCACTACTACCACTACTACCACTACTACCACTACTACCACTACTACCACTACTACCACTACTACCACTACTACCACTACTACCACTACTACCGCTACTACCACTACTACCACTACTACCACTACTACCACTACTACCACTACTACCACTACTACCACTACTACCACTACTACCACTACACCCACACCACTACTACCGCTACTACCACTACTGCCACTACTACCACTACTACCACTACTACCACTACTACCACTACTACCACTACTACCGCTACTACCACTACTACCACTACTACCACTACTACCACTACTACCACTACTACCACTACTACCACTACTACCACTACTACCGCTGCTGCTACTACTACTACTACTACTACTACTACTACTACTACTTCTATTTCTGCTTCTGCTTCTGCTTCTGCTTCTACTTCTACTTCTACTTCTACTTCTACTTCTACTTCTACTTCTACTTCTACTTCTACTTCTACTTCTACTTCTACTGCTGCTACTACTACTCCTACTACTACTACTACTGCTACTACTCACTAGTAGTGATAGCGGTGGTGGTAGCAGTAGTAGTAGTGGGCGGGGGAGGAAGAGGAGGAGCAGCAGCAGTAGGAGGAGTAGGAAATGTACAGTAGTAGTTGTCGTAGTAGTAGTAGTAGTAGTAGTAGAAGTAGTAGTAGTAGTATTAGTAGTAGTCGTCGTCGTAGTAGTAGTCGTCGTAGTAGTCGCTGTAGTCGTTGTAGTAGTAGTAATAGTCGTAGTAGTAGTAGTAGTAGTAGTAGTAGTAGTAGTCGTAGTAGTCGTACTACTAGTAGTCGTAGTAGTCGTAGTAGTCGTAGTAGTAGTCGTAGTAGTCGTAGTAATTGTGGTTTCGTTGTAGTCGTAGTAGTAGTAGTCGTAGCCGTAGTAGCAGTATTGGTTTTTTATATGCACACATTGACTGACTGACTGTCGTTGTCGTTGCCATTCCCACCACCGCGACCAGGCCTGCCACTCCTGTGATATTACTTTGAATGCTACTCCGGTTTTTTCTAAGTGCAGGAATTCCTTCAGCCAGGAACACCGCCACCACTACTTCCACCTACTACCATGTTCCCACATAGGCGCCAGTAGCAGCATTCAGCACCACCATCACCGTCACCGCCTGTGCCGCCGAACTGTCAAAGAACACCTCAATCACCACCGCCTCTGTCACTGACCCCACATGCTCCAGCAGCCGCAGCTACCACAGGCGCCATCACCATCGCCAACGCCTCTCCCGCCAGTGTTACCTGCCCATGCTCATTCTCATTTTTTGTCTTTTAGGACGTTCATAAGGTTCGAGCTTATCTGAACGTGAACTGAATGAGTACTTGATGCTGAGAACCCAGATGATGCGACTTTTGCAGGTGGGACCGCTCAGTCAAGTCCAGCGACCAAGCGCCACCGTCCACGTGGCCGGAACTCAGTACCGCGAGAGGAGGCCTCAAACGGTCAGCACGCAGGTCAAGGGAAGGGCTAGTGTTGGTGTTTTGACTTCAGTCTTTACCGTCTGTTTGCCTGTTCTTTCTGTATCGGTGTCAAAGATTTTGGAAAAAGGATTACTCACCCCATCCTCTGAACGGTCGGCCGTGGAGGAGCAAGGTGCGGCGCAGCAGAACCAAGCGCAGTTAAGTGAGGAGGACCACCGGTTTGGTTTGTGGTAGCAAGCCCATCAGTTGTTCAGCCCATGCCTGCGGAGGCAGCGCTTCTCGGCGGGTTGATCTCGGATTGAACATTTGCAGTGAGAGTTTTGCATCTTGTGCTTGTGGAACGATTGCGAGGATTCTTGATCAGCTGTCCGAGCTTGCATGTCTTGATTTCTGAATGTGGGGCTGGCTCTGCTTGGCGCTGCTCCGTATAGGGGCCAGAGCTTGCTTCCGGGCGAAGGGTGTCCCCAACAAGCAGTGAGCACTTGCAATCAGAGGGGCGGAACTTGCGAGGTCCGAAGCAGAAACTAGATGCAGGCTACGAGCCGCTTTGCTAGCCGTAGCCAGTGTGACGTTTGCTGGCACATGGCGATCTCGACGACAACAGATTCTTCTCAAGGCTTGGCAAGCCCGTAGTTCTAATGCAAAGGTGCGTGCAGCACCACACTTCGCATTCTTCTCAGGAGCTTCCACAGAAATTCTGGGTGTAAGGGTTACACTGAATTCCTGTGACGTCGCTTCTTTCCAGTTTTAATATCAAAAGCTGTTGCCATGGACTACATCACAGAGCCTGTGTGGTCGTCGAAGCCTTTCTCCAAGAGAATGCCCACTCACCCAGAGATGCTGAAGTTCAAGGGCTCACCACCACCTTGCTGCAAATGCCTTCATCATGACCCCTTCCCCGATCCTTTCTGCCGCGGCATACCTCACGACTCCGTGCCACTTCCAGAGGAAGAGACACAAGAGTTGTTGAGGAACTTGAAAGGCAGCTGGCAGATAGTTGCCCCGGAGGGAACGACCCCTCCTGGCACCAGGTACACGACCGCGCATGTGCAAGATGACCATTACACCTTGACCGGTGGCACTCGTCTTACATGGGACGGTGAGCAACCCAACCCGCCGTGCACGGAGCACTTCCATTTTTACCGTGGGCCGGAGAAGGAGATCTACTTGGACTACATCGGCACGGTGTTCACGAAGACAGACTTCCACAATGGCAGGGTGGAGTTTAATAACGGTTTGAACATCCCGGTGGCGTGGCAACGAGGGCAGAATAACTCTTCTTCACCACAACAGCAGAACATGCCTTCAGATATCGTGGTGGTAACCGCTGACAATGTCACAGCAGTTCCGGGTGTAGTTCAGGCGACGGTAGTCGTAGTTTCCTGAAACAGCATGTATCGAGCGTTTTCCCAGGGAGCTCGTGTCCTCTTTGCTGAAATCCGATCTGCTCAGAGAGCGATTGGTTCCGGCGCACGAGCCGAGGCACAGCAAGCTTTCCTGGCATGGTCCTTCTCTCGCAAGTGCCCTTTTCCTGTCGCTTCTTTGGTCAGCTGCGTGAGACCCCCGAAGCTTTCTGAAGCTTGCTCGGTGGTCTGAAAAAACTTGGCGAGGCTGCGACTGCTTTAAGACTAGATGCTTGAAGGAAGTGGCTGATGTTGTGTGAAGTGTTTCCACACCGCAATGTAGACGCTCTGTCTTGATTTAAGTGTAGGTTTGCAGGGGTGGATGTTGCCATGAACGACCTTGGGGCCTGGTTTCAACAGCAGAACGGTTGCTCTTTCCAAAGTTTACCGCTTGCTTTTGCTTTCGCTTCTTGGGGTCCTTGCAAGTTGTGGGGGACGAAACTGTAGAGGGTCTGGGATGAGGGCCAGCAGATTGCATTCAGGCACATGCTTGCGAGCCTTTCCCCACACTCATCCGACTGCAGGACTGGGCGCAGCGCCAGAACAAGCGGCGAACAGTGATCTCCTCGCACAAGCGCCGTCCCGCCACTTCGGTTGAAGTACTGGGCATATATCAGGCAGGAATTGACAGTTCGTCTCGAGTTTGCCTTCAGCTGCTTGTAGCTTCTCTCACTAACCAGCAATTGCCCTCCCGACCACCGTGGACAACGCAAGCAAGTTTTGCACCATGGCTCAAGCAGGCACATCACGAATATATCCTGGTTGATGTGCGCTCGAGACGGTTGTGGCTTGCCGCAAGCGCAGCTAGCACAACGAAGGCTCGTAAATGCGCACTCAGTGCAACCCGTGCTCGACGAGGACAATGTAGTGGAACTCTATGACATCATTTACCAGTCGTCGCAAATGTTCATACGCTTCTGATTGTGTCCCCTACCCACAAAATCCTCACCCCCCCGAAAACCGCACCGATTGCGGCTGCCATCGCCACAGCAGCCACCGCCGCCACCACCACTAGCACCACAACCACCGCCGCCAACACCTCCGCCGCATCCGCCGCCACCACCATCAAAACCACTGCTGCGGACGTCGCCAACAGCACCACCAGCAACACCAACGTCAGCAACAACAACATCAACAACACCAACACACACGACTTCTACACCTAGACATGTGTGGACCAGGAACAAAGGGCCACAAGAGCAAAATCTGAACCGCGATGTTAAGTTTTGTTGCCGAGAAAGACGGCGTTCTTTTCACTTTTCGTGTGCGCTTGGGTTGCACAGTTATTTTACCCTTGGCTAGTACTCCAATTAATGCAGGACGAAGCAGTGGGGAACACATACTGTTGGCATGTTGAGTCAGGCGGGCAACATTGTGAATGGCCGAGACTACTTATGCCACGAAAAATGCTGCTAAGTAGTTGCTTTGCATTGAATTCTGCCTGTTGTGGAAGCGGCTGCATGCGCCGATAGCTGCTCGACGAACATGCGCCTTGTGGAGAAGCATGATGCTGCTTACAGCATGAAGACAAAGGTCTCAGCCTGCAAACTGCAAACCCGCAAGTTCTGCGAGCGATGCCGGAGATCCCCTCCCATTCCAAACGCCGCGAACGACCCATCCATAAGGACTACATTGCTTACAACTCCGCCTGCCCGCGCGGAAGTCGGGACCTGCGATCTGTGCATTCCGTTTGGGCGGCTTGTCGGTTTAGAGCCTGTCCCCTGTAGTGTTGGTGCAACTGCCTCAAGCTTTTCTCTCGCATCAGTATCTCCGAGAGTCTGAGCCCTGCCTGGCCTCTGATCTCCATCCACTCCGAAGGACCCCGAAGAGCCCAATACGCCCGATCCCGACGCGAGAACGAGTAAGAGGCTGGGCCGGTACGGATTGTCAAGTGCAGGGCTCAGCACCGAAAGTGACACAGCAGTTTCAGTTGCACCATGGGGTTCCGAACCCAGGAGCACCTAACTGCAATGCCGTTCCAGGCCCTAACGCACTTGGAGTGCTGGTGCTCAGGGTCTGCATGAGTCGAAATGCTCTGTAGCCTTGCCATCTGCTGCCACCACAGGTCCAAAAGCCCTAAGCCCCCAAAGAGCTGCAAGAGTCTGATCACGATAATGACTGTTCATTATTTGGCTAATTCCGTGTGCAACCGCCATACCTCAAAAGTGAAGTTTTCATGACTGTGAATCCACGGCATTGGCGGGCGCAGTTTCATGCATCGAATCTCTAACGTGTTCTTAAGCCTTCGTGGTCTTGAGGCAGTGGGAATCGGAGGTTCAGCACTGGCGCAAGTCGATTCGCGAGTGGAACGGGGTGAACTTCTGCTGCAAGAGCGGGATTAACAAGTTGTGAATGCCTCGCATTTTGGAGGAGTGGCGGATTGATTGGAGTTTAGGTTCGGTCTTTGTTCACGTCGTGGGGATTTGCTTTCGGGGTTAAGGGGGGACCAAGCGAGTCAGCTGTCCTGGCGTGACGTTGAAAAGCCAGTTGCAAAAGGGGGGACCAAGCAAGCCTGCAGCAAAAATGGGGGACCTTCCAGCCTCGTGCTGCTCAGACGTTCAGGCGCTTGATTGCACAAGTCCTGATGCAAAAAAAGGGGCTGGAAGTTCGTTGATTGCTGCCTCACTGTTTTGTCACGTTTGGTCTTGGTAGGAGGCCGGAGTCATGTAATCCGCAAGCCCTCTTGTGCCTTCGGGCGACCGGCTTGATTCGAGGATTTATGCTGGAAGGATTGACTGGCGGGGTCGCGAACCGGTGCCGAGATGCGAGAGGGAAAAATGAGGGTCCGAGTTTGTTCAGGTTCCCTTTTTTCCTGGTCCCCCACTCCTGCGTCATTTGGGTTTGATGTGCAGATGCGAGGAACGGCATAAACGACGAGGAGATCCTAGACGACATCAGTGAGTCGCCAAACTATCAGTGAGTCGCCAAACTAGTTTGAACCGGCGAAGGATGCCTAGCCGCCTACCCCCTCCCGGAGTTCTCAACCGCAGTATGCCTTCGTCCTAGCACAGGGACTTGGCCGTGAGCGTTCGGGTTGCTAATTTGGCAAGCAATGCCCTAAACTTGTCCAACCGAGGACCTAGATGTTTAGTGTTGCATCCCTTTTGAATCTGCCGAGAGGTACAATAGGCCAGAGTATGAGACGGCATGGCCTACAGATCATCGCATCTATCATTGAGCCAAACCCAGAGCCTCCCGGAACAGAGCTCTGTTGAGTCTTTGGCAGCCTCTGCCGTTACATGTCAAGCATCGCGGTGGGAGCGATGCTGGCCGCCACAGGAGTGGCAAGGTTTAGCTTTTCGGGCAAGTCAGTGAGCTCTGATGAGGACGTAGGTTTGGTTGCAGGATCTGGCCAGCCGTGGCTCCAAATTCACCTAGAACCGCGTTCTTTGCAGTTTAGTGCCGGAGAATACCCCCTTTCAAAGATATCAAGCCAGTTTGGGAGGTATTTGTACAGGCTGCTGTACCTCGAGGCAAAAAAGTGATGCAGATGCAGGTGCACACCATACAGTCGCCGCTCTCGACGACGGCCAAGCGAGTGTCGCACACCGTTGATATTGACTAGGTGGCAGCCCGGGTAGAGAAGACATGTAGACCCCAAGCCACCAACATCCTCTGGATCCCTTCGCCCTCACGCTGCAAGGCGTCAGACTGCTTCAAACCGTCCCCGTCATGGTGAAGTAGAAGCATATGAGTTGGGCTTCAGTCTCGGGCCATCTTTGAGACATATCCATGCCTTTTAACCAGGATCGCGCGCGAAATGTCTTCAAGAACAGATGTTGAGCACTGCCCGATGTTGTTTTCTGTCGGGGACACGTGACATCTCAGTCACAGGAAGCGTGCGCATTGGCGCGCTTCATGCTGGATCCTGCAGCCATGAACTCTGCATTCTACATGTGAGGGGCGTCGGGCTCCACATTTCCGAAACGTTCACTTCAAGCCATGTGCAGAGCTCAAGCCGGCGCTCCGTCTTGTTTCCCGTCGCCGCCTCCCGCTTCGATGGTTGACATTTGGGTGCACCCGAGGTGGCCGTTTTCCGTCTAAGTTCAGTGGGCTGCTTTTGGAGTGTGCAGGAACTACTTCTTGGGAGTTGTGGTCCGGGGTCTGCAGGCTTCTTGCTTAGGGAGACTCCTGCAGTCTCATGACGACGGTCCGTGAAGGCCAGCCACAGTTTGTCCGGACTGGCACGAACCGTCCAAGCTCAACACGTGCAAGCGCAAATTGATGAGACGACGGGGCAATGACTCCACACCTTTGCCGTGCAATCGAGCCGAGAGAGACATGCAAAGCTTCAAGCCTCGGTAGCCCAAACCTCGCTGATTTTGGCAACTACGCTGCTGAGCAGGCAGCTGTCCAAACGCTCTAGCTACATTGTACATACTCGTCGGGGTCCAGGCTAGGACATATGCAGCCAGGGCGCTGATTAAGTGGCATTCTTAAATGATGGAGGTCTCAGCACACAAAAACACTGGTGCTCCGACACAGTCTAAACGTTCAGCCTGAAGAGGATTGCCCATCAGAGCAACAAGCGGAAGAGCTGGGAAAAGATGTCACCAAGAGTTTGGAAAGAGCAATTAACCTACGGACATCAGTGTCAGCTACTATGAGAATGAGCCCACAGCGCCGAATGGCTGTGGGCTGCGGTTCTGCACATCTTGGCACATAGCTGAAGCGGTTTGCGATTTCCGATGCCGCAGAGTGCCCACCTGTAGCCTTCTGAACGAAGCATCGGATAAATTTGGTACTTATAGTCCATGGACATCTTGATTGTGAGAACATTCAATCCACCTACAGGGCCTAGTATCGGTATATACGGGATTGGCGATTCGTGTCCAGTTCGGCAATGGCTAATTTCCACAACAGGGGAAGAGGGCATGATGATCCTTGCAGCGGTGCTCACTGTGTTCTTGAAGGTTACTCAAGATTCGGTTTGATCACGGCTGGCTGGACAGATTGTGAAACAGGTGAGATCTGGAAGCCCGAAGCCTGAGTCCTGAACTCTGTCTTGATTGGAGGCACGGAGGGCTCCAGGAGATGATCCTGAAAGAGAGGCCCAGGTTTCAGGGCGCCGGTGATCGATGCTGATGATTGTTACGACTGCTGTTGCTACTGCTGCTGCTACTTACTGCTGCTGCTGCTGCTGCTACCATTACTCCTAGTAGTACTTGTGCCAGCACTAGTTCTCGTGCTACTAGTAGTACTACGACGACGACTACGACTGTCAGGCGAATCACCATCATCATCACCATTGCAACCATCACTGTCATAACCCATCTCATCGTTTCTTCATCTTCATCAATACTAGTAGCAGCCGGGGCAGTAAAATCACGCGCAGGTGTTGGAGTGACAACAGCAGCGTAGCAGTAGTAGTGGTGGCGGTGGTGGTTGTGGTGGTGGTGGTAATGGAGGTAGGAGTAGCAGTAGCAGCGGCAGTGGCAGTAAAAGTAGCAGGAGTAGGAGAAGGCGGAGGCGGAACAGCAGCAGATAGCCGCCGCCTAAGGGTGTGTTACCATGACAGTTTTCTGATGTGCAAGTCCGAAGCGGGTCTTCGTTTGCGGTGCAGCTTGCCGAGCTTAGCTGCGTGCAAATAAAAAGGTGTAGCATGACCTGAAGCCGGATGGCGGAAGGGAGTCAAAAGCTCAGACAAGCTGTGCTTTGCAGGAAGTGGACAGCCAAAGCTATTCAGCAACGGCGCAGCCTGCAGAAGGATGAGAAGGAAGCGAAGATTGTGGAGGTGCATGCCGCGTCTCCTTGTACGCATGAACTCTCGTGCATGTGTAGCAACGAGGTTTAGAGTTTCCAGAAAGCACAGGCACGGTAGTCACGAGCCTTGTTTGGTTTAGTGTGCTCTTTCCGTGTTTTGCTTCGGCATGCAGGCATGTTTTGCTTGAGCTGAACTTCTGTAGTCCAGCTTAACAAGATAGCCGTTTCCGAAGTTTTGTGCCAGAGTGACAATGCGTGACAAAGTAGAGAAAACAATTGGGGTTTCTGCAACACACATCCGGCAGCAAGTCTGACCACAAACTAGAGAAGTTGATTGGCCAGCAATTAGCAACTAGACTACTTAATGACGGAGGCCGAAGAGGAGTGCTTTGCATGCCCGTCGCATCTCCTTGTATAGAGAGACGCGACCCCAAACCCGAAACCACTCAGCAAAAAGAATGCTGCCCCTGTGATTGATGCTGCCGTCATGAAACATGACAGTGGTATCTGCTTCGATAGCTATGATAGTTTATGTTCAAAGCCGAAGATCATCATGAAAGTTTGTCCAAGAGAGAGCAGTCTTTGCAACTTCAACGTTTGAACCAGAACCGTGAACCTAATATGGATGTGATCTCCGCAATGCATCGATAACCAAGACCAAGAGTTCGGAGAGGGTTTTTTGAACGGGAAGCAACAAAATCACATGAGCGTTGGCCTCACCGTCATCAGCATCAGCACCATTCATTGATGTCAGTTTAGTTTTCAACTGCATACCAGAGCTGGTGCACCCTCCGACCCGGCTAGAACATGCGATGGTGCTTGCTGTATGAGACAGAAACTAGAGCCTGCCAAGCAATCACCATCCGACATGCAGTCGCAAGATCAAATCATGCAACAATGGTTCTTGCCAGGTCTTGATCTGTGAAAAGCCTTGACTGCTGGGAATTTTAGTGGCCAGATCCGTTGTGCAGCAATCCGGACAGTTTCATTGCGTGTCTCGTGTTTGAAGGCCTGGGTTGCTCTCAAAAGTTGCCCAGGTAATGCTCCGAAAAGGAGGGCCTGTTCTTTGTTTTTGTTTTGATGCGATTCCTTCGTTTTGCTAGGGAAAACATATGTTCCGTACAATTTGGACGGATTTGGTGCCACATTCGTAGGTTTTCCTCGGGAAACCTCTATTCTTTTAATATTTTTGTTGAGTTGCGACTTTGTTGGACTCTGTTGGCCAAGGAGTGGCTTCTGCACAACCCTCCGCATCTTTGCATGTCCTAGGATCCTAGACGCCATCGACCGGAAACCACCAGACAAATTACTGCTTCCGTTTGTTGGACCCCAAATCCAGAAGCCTAATCAGTGCAAACCTATCAGACAGAAGGCGAGTTCCGGCCTAGCTCGGGCAGCATCACGCGCAAGCGTAAAGATGTTCTCATTCATTAGCTTCACTCCCTGCCGCGCCCGAAAGCGAAATCTTTACAACAAATTCACATGCCGGCCCCTTGTCAGGTACTCAGCGGTGAGTCCAAGATCCAAGTTGAAAACGCAAAGAGCCCAGCAGTCCGAGACTAATGCTGTCGTCTTTGCAAGCTTGAGCCTAAGCATGGACCAACTTGAAGAGACGGGGCACCCGTTTAAAACCTGTTGGCCCTCCTCAAGTCAGCAATCCCTGGCACCAGCAAGGCGCCGGCACGGAAGGAAGCTCTGGAAAGGGCAGGCGCGAAGTGGTTCTGCGTTAAGCTGGAGCTGGGTGGGCTTCAATCATATTCAGCGACGGCGACGATTGCGACTAGCAACTCGAACTACGTTTTTCCGAATATTACTAGCTGTGGAGGGCCACGGATGTGTCAATGTCGAAGATTTGGAGTCCGGAGCTCCCCGCACAAGGTTCACGGAAGTTCATCGCCGCCTTATAGCTAGGTGCAGCTAGCAGCGATGGCGAAGCTGTAGGCCCACTGGAAACCCAAATCCGAAAAATCATCGGCGTGCCAGCGGTTGTCCAGCTCCGGGCCCATCTCCGAGCCACTGTGGCATGATGCACCCCGCGAAAACAAAGCCTACTCTCGCTAGGAATTTGTGTCGCGCTGCGAAGTTGTGCTAGGGGTCTGAGGAAGCAACTTTTCGCTACACGGAAGCATAGCACTTCGTGGAGGTACACAGTATCGAATCACACAGACTCTGCAATTACCAGCTCCCGAGAGAGCAGTGCCCACCCTTGTAGCTTGCTTGCGTGCGATAATTGTATGCGTAGGATGAGATTGTTCAGTGTTGGTGTTTGGACGAGGATCTGGTTCGACGTCGCGTGATCGCGCTGACAGCGCTTGCAAATATCAGGGCGAGGGCACGACTTTGAATCTCGACCTGACTCTACGCTGGATGAGCACCCCAAGCGAGAGGATGATGGAATCAAACGGGGTTCAGGGAGGGACCGGGTCTAAAGTCCGAACTTCTGGAGGTTGATCTAGGCCGGTTTCCGATTGAGTTCGAGAAATGGGCGGGTATGCCAACGAAAGTTTTACCCCTGGGCCATGACAAGTTGGAATTCAGTCTGCATCCTTAGCCTTGTCAAGGCTCCTCCAAGGCGGTGGAGACAGCTTCCTTGCTAAAGCCAGGAACCTGGCAATGGGAATTCGCAGAGATTCCTTTCACAAAATGCTGGCCGGTTCAGCAATCGATTGCTTACTGTACGAAGCGGTTCAGACCTGGGCAGCAAGACAGGGGGGTTGTACGGATTACCAGCCCGCGCCACCACAATTTCAGAAGAAGAAAATGCAGAAGAAACCGCTCACTCACGACAGGAGGCATACCTTCCATCGACATGTATGTAAGTAATGTACGTATGGAAACATACAAGGCCAGGTCGTCCGCAGCCTTTCTGAATCTACAGCGAGATGATTACATGGTATCTGGAAGAAGCCTGTACTCGTGTCTAGTCGGCTCTGCTTCAAGCTTCATCAGGGGTGATGAGGGGAGGGGCGGTTGGACCGCTTGAAGTCCTATCTTAGCAGAGGGCGTTCTGCTTCTGCAAGATGCCGTGCATGTCCTCAACCCTGGCCTTCCGAGGTCGCGGAATGGCTGCCTGCTGCCGACAAATGTCTCCATTGGGCCAGCAGCTGCTTGTCGATTTAGCGCAAGGCTCATTGGAGGTTTCAGTTTTTGGGCCAGGTTCGGGGTTGAGTTTCGGAGCAGGGGATCTCAGATGTTTGAGTTTATGAGTGGCAGGGATAAATCAGGTGGTCTCTTGGCACTTGTCTTTAGTTGGAGAGTGGTTTAACTTTTACGTAGTTTTGCACCGGATGGGCATTCTGTAAGCACGAGCATACAGCAACTGAATGCAAACGGCACATGAGCCTATTATGGGAGCGCGGAACACAGCCCCACTTGGACGAACCCATCCTCGGGCTGCAGAGATCTCATTATCGCAAAAGGAAAAAGGACTACACTACGAACACAGTCGCTTTGGCAGTAGCAGGCTTACTACACTGGCTGTGGCCGCCATATCCGTTGAAGATCTGAGCGTGGTGGCCGTTCAGCTGGCGAAGCCACTGCCGGCCCCTGGCAGAAATGAGAGGCTTCGCGCTTGGATATGTTTTGCATGGTGAAGTTCAGGACAAGCAGGAGCTGACACGTTCCGTTTGCAGCGCGAGTGCTACTAACCAAGCAAGAATCAAACGCTAAGAGCGAACAATTCATTGTACACACACACACAGAGAGATTGCACAGTACATGTGTAAGCTTGGCAGGAAATCTGTGAAGGGTAGACACGGGCAGACATGGCTCTGGGACTCTCGCTCTGCTTGGAGTTGAGCCATCCTTTACCCTACTACTTGTAGCCTGCCCTGCACCAGCCATGTGTAGCACACGCTCTTCAATCATAGCCAGATGAATATTTCCGGGCAGAGAAGCCAGCAGCGCGTGCCCTTGCACGCAGCTTGCATATTTTGCAGCGACAGAATGCAGAAGTGAGACCCAGTGAGAGGCAAAGCTGTGTTTTCGTTCAGCGAACAGGTGTTGCTACGGCATTCGTTTGGGGACGTTGAGGATGCACATATGCGTACATGCTTGCAGAACGCTTTCGCGAACTCACTTCTGCTAAGCGAAGCACCCACCTCAATTTGGCTGCTCGTGTGCGTGTCAACTTGACAGAAGGATTTGGAAAACAACTGCCTCGGCTCGCGTGCATGATACAAGACTGTTTCTCTTCTGTCCTCGAGTTTGAACACGAAGTGCCAGAAAACCCGTCCAAGGCAACGAGTCATGTTGGTCCCTTAAATGCTTGGCTCTTGCGCTCTCCATGCCTGCCGGACGCATGAACTCGGCGCAGCGGGCCTCAATCGGGCATGGACGTGCAGTTGCAAGAAGGGCTCGTGCTTCCAGGCCAACACGAGTTTCTTGGACAGCCCCGTGCGTTAGCCGGCTCTAGAACGTGTCACTGCTGGCTACGCCAGTATTTTGTGCATGATGCCCAATCGGAGTTTGCACGACACGTGCACGAAGTACTGCAGAAAAGCACGAAAACTCGAACAACAACTTCCCATGATTGCTTTCTCTTTGTCATCAGTGTAATGAACTGTTACTATTGTGAGTGACAAAATTAATACTCTTTTCGCTGTTATCGCATCTTTGCTGTGTTTGCAGTTTCACAAAAACAGCCCGAAAGCACCAGCTCTGTCAACCCCGCATCGTTGCCTCCAAGCCCTAGACATAACAGAAGCCCCAGGCCAGTGTCAAGCCTGCTAGAAGATTCCAGTACGCATGGGGCAAGCCGCTGTGGCTGGCCAGGCAAGTCGGAGCCAGGCACTGTTCCAGCGGTTGCGGAATTGTGGCATTAAGCGGTTATCGCTGTAGCCGACACATCCAGGCATTTCAGGACTTCTAGTCCGTTCTACTTGCCACTGAGTCTTGCACTGTGTAGATTGCTGTTTCTAGCGGACCTTGCTTGGCCAAGAGCAGCAACGGAAGTTGTGAAATGCAGCACTCCCGCCATGAGAACCACCGTTCAGTTGTCATACCCCAGAACCTCCTGTCAACAATGCACTGAGTTCCTCAACCCCAGACTTCTGAAGCCTGGCGACTGTCATGCTCCACACTCTTGAGACATCACGGCCGGCTGCCAGATCCGCGTCGCCGCATTGCTTTCGCGAAACCTATTTGTAAGGTTGGTTAGGGGGCAGCTCTGCAACAGCAGCGGCAGCCGTGACGACGACGACGACGACGACGGCGTTACCAACCCCAGCAAAACCAGCACCAGCACCCCGCGAAGAAATGCAGAACGATCGCCATCACCAACATCAGCACTAGCAGTATCAAGACCAACGACACCACCACCACATCGACGGCGACAACAACAAGGGGTGCCATCGTCGACATGCAACTTTGGGCGTCGACATGCAGGACCTGCACAGTCGACGAGAAAAGAACCAAGTAGTAACAGCCAGTACTAGTACAATAGTAAATAGTAAATACGTAGTAAACCGGGGAGTAGTAAAGTAGTACACTGTAAAATGTACAACAGTAAATAGTACAATGGTAATGTCGCAACTAGTACAACAGTAAAGCAATAATCTCAAAAGTAAGGCGGGCACCAGTTTCCATAGTACAATAACAAGAATGAACTGTTCGCGAAATAGCAACCAGTGCAAGAGAAAAGAATTAGTATAGGGGGGACCCCCTCGCAGCTTGCAAAGCCGCGTCGTGCTTGTCCACCGTGCATGTAATCGTAAGGTAGCAAATTAGTAAGGTAGAAAATTAGCAAACAGAAGAAAGTACAAAAGTAAACATGAACAAATAGATAGAAAATAGTACAATAGTGAAGAAATGATGGAAACAGTGCAGATGGGACCCGTTTGCATCTTCGAAAAGCTCCCGCGCCTGTCCACCGCTGAAATATAAGTCGAATTTGGCAAAACGAAATAGGAGAGTCAAACAGAGCCCGCCTCCTCCTCCTCCTCCTCCTACGACGACGACGACTTCAAGAACAGATGCAAAAACATCTACGACAGCAGCAACAACACCAACCCACAGGGGCAGGGACTGCAACGGCAACAGCGACGTGTGCAACTGCAAATGCGCGGGCGATGGCGATGGCGACAGCGACGACTACGTCATTCGCAGGCACGACGACTCGAACAACCGCAACGACGACAATATCAACTACGCCAGCGAGAACTGCAGCAACATGTCGCTCGCAGCATGCATCAAAACATGCTTAATCAAGAAGCGTTCTCCCCAGAATCTTGCGATTCCCGACCCTTTCACTCAAGCGATGGAACCTGGACGTTGAGCTTGCAAGCCCACCTGCTCTTGCTTGCAGCTGCAAGCCCCAACCCTTGCATGCCGAAGGCTTCCAGAGAGAGCTATTGGCCGACGTTGATTGGGTCCTCTTGCCAACCTGAGGCCGTGCTGGTACTCACTAGTTCACGAGTAACGGTAGACCCATCAGCTCCAGCCTTCATGTTTTCGGTCCCGTTCTCGTGCATCGTCTGGGGGGTTGTTGTATTGATTGTATTGTGGTTTGCAGCCTCTTCCACATTCACGAGATCCCAAGCCGAAATGTTCTGGTTCGACGTCGAGGGAAAGGCTGAGGACAATTTCCAGCATTCCTTGGGCAACTGTCGCCCTATGCGTTTTGTGATTGAACTGATGTCCAGTCTCTGCCGAATACACGAACAATGTCGAGAGACGCGGTTGCTGTAACTACTGTATGTACTGAAGTCGGCACAATGCTTGTAAGTCTGTCGAGGGTCGAGGAGTTCCGATGGAGCCTTCGGATCAATTACGGAGCAGCTGATGCTCCGCTAGTGACTAGTGAAGCCTCTACGCTTGGGACTCACGCTGAACGCAATATCTGCGTGCCGAGGGTTTCAGCTGTTCCAGCCAACCGTCGTCCTGCAGCTGCAAGGAAACGGCTGGGCGCTCAGTTTGAGTCTGTCGTGTTCCAGAAGAACCGAACACACCAAAACTCCCATTCCAAACTCGCGGGCAAATAAGTCACTAAGTCACACGAAGTTATGCTTGGGAGGTAAGCAGTGATAAGGTTTCTTTCGAACGGCAGGCTCAGAGGTCTCCATGTGACATGGGAGACTCTCAATTAAAGAGAAAACAGGATTCACTGTCAGGCAAAAGTAGATCGTACCATCCTGGACGAGCTCTGCTCAATTGTACTGTAACGCTCTTGCCAGCCTTCCCATTGCCAGTGACATGTTTCTGCTGCGTCATAGCACTCCCAGCAACCGCAACACGGGTACCCGCTCTTTTGCTGCCTTTTGGTTCGAGTGTTTTTTGAGCGATTCAGGTCCTGAGACGGTCTACTCCGCCAGCTGTAAAATCAATGAAACTACCCCAAAAAGGCTGCAACACCCTTTAAACCCAGCTGGGTTCTAGCTTCCCTTGGCGATGTTTTGGGCTCGGGGAAACCGGCGCCCGAGAAAGCAAAACGACGCTCTCGCAAAATTGAGGCGACAGGGGGTTGAAACTTGTCGTCCTGGGAGTACGGGTCTGCGCCGTGGGCTTGTAAGACAAGCTCTCAGCCAAAGCTGCGACTCCGGACTGTCAGGAACGCCCCCAAAGGCCTTATTGCCTGTGCCCGAAACGCCCCCAGCCGAGGACGGCTTTGCAAGCATCTTCGGCAAGTTGCGGATGCCTGAGCTTCCCACCGAATGCTTAAATCCGAACGTCCTCCCTGCAGTGCCTGACTGTGAAATTCGAAGAGTTTTGAGCTGCAAGCTCGTCGAATTCCCTTGAAGGCCTGCTTGAAGGATTGAAGTGACGGCTGCGTACTTAATTAGAGTTTTAAGTTGTAAGATTCCGGCCGTGTTGGCATGGCAATGCGGAAACGAAAGCCAGAGTTGGGTTTGTCCCTCTGCCTTTCCCTCACTCGACCATGCAACATTTGGCAAGTCTTCGCCGCTTAAGTGGCCAGGTCGAGACCATGGTCCTCCCGTGTGGACTCCGCCCCTCGGATCTCTTGAGCAGTTATGCAGCGGCTTTAGGAGGTTTGGGGTGGTGAGAGTTGAGGGTGTGGGGCCTCATGGCCTGTGCATTGGAAACAGGAAACCTGCTTTTTCGCAGTGCGGCAATAGCAGGGGCAGCAGCAGGAGAAGCAGGAGCAGCAGTTGCCACATTGGCTGGTAGCTGTAGTTTTGTTCTAAGAAGTCTGGGACTTGCTGCACATTCAGGAAGAGTCCAGTGGCGAGGAGGAGACGGACAGCAGCCGCCTCGGATTCTGCTGTCTCAAGAGGGTGCTGGGTGCTGCCGGCCCGTGGCAGAGGTCTCGAGTGGAAGCCCCCCGTTATGGGCTCCGACGGCTCCCGCTATACCGGTCAATGGCCTGGTCCTCACGGGTTCTTGCAGGGTTTCTAGAGCACGATCTGATAGCTTAGCTTTCCAGAAATCATTGAAACTTATTTGGGTAAGTAAGCTATCAAACTAATTTAGAGAATGGCATAACTGTATAACTGTTATACAGTTATTGTTTAACTGACAACACACAGCAAGATTGAGCACCAG